CCACTAACCAAGTGTGGGCCTAGCTCGTTGACTTTATGGTTATTAAAGATCAACTTTCAATAAAGAAGCGAATTAATCGTCGGATGATGACCCCGAGTCTCGCCCACCAATCGTGGGCATCCTCCCCAATTCGGATAAGAGGCTGATGATCTGCGTCGAGGATGACTTAAAATATATCCTAGAGCATTATCTTGAAGTACTCGTCGTCTTTAAATCTCACGTAGCGTGACCGGAACGACACAGCGTAAAAGTTCGCGGAAGCCGTATAACATGTTTATCATCTGAAAAACTTGGTGATGGGTCCAACATGGTTAGCGTTAAACACTGTCGAAACTTTGAAGAGGGGGTTGATCGGACGCATGCATGTATGCTGATTCACGCGTCCCCCACTTACTTTCGTCCGTAGAATCAGAAGGGCTGGCTGCTGGCTTTCAGCCTCTTCCTACGGCATGCGCATGCGCCAAGTGAGATCTTCGAACGGCGTTGATCCCCGTGGATCTTGTGCGCATAACTAAGAGAAGCATAATTTAATTTGTAATTATCTTAAGACTTTATTATATCCACAAAACGTTTCCCTGCGCCGGTTCTTCGCCCCCGAGGATTTGATCGTCTTATCGGTGTCTGGCGGCGATCCCGGGGGTTGATTTCGGCCGCTGGCTGGACTGGAGTACGCTGAGAGACTTTCACGGGCATTACGGATCCGAACCATTGGAGAAGGAGATGGGCAGCGATTTCCTCTCGTCGCGGAGGGAGAGGACAATGGTCGGATTAGGTTGCAATATACCCAACAGTCAAGCCTCCGACGGAGAAGATGCGCGCAAGGTCGGGAAGGGGGCGGGAGTCGGCCGGAGAGGTCAGGCCTTAGGCGGCGGCGGGGAGCTGCGGGCGTCGGCCGCGAGGGACTTGTGATATATGTTGCAGCTATAGATAGCCACGAAGCCCAACGCAAAGGCTACCGTGCAGACGACGATGGTGAATGCCAGGGGCATCTCTAACCCCATCTGGCCAGAGAAATAACTGCTCGCAGCCACGGAGCAGTACCCAGAGGCGACCTCGCGCTGTTTCTCTTCTACGGTGGCGCCGCTCCCTTCTCGCCTTCGTAGGAAATAGAAGCACACGAGGAACAACACGGAGTGGGCCAATACAGCGAACGTTTCGTTGCCTCAAGTACTGTAGATTCCAATTCCGCAGCTAAAATTGATGGTTAAGAAGCTGATGGCATAAAGCCAAGGGGATAAAACCTGGTCCTCAGCGGGAGGAGCCTCACAGGGCTCCATTTGCAGAGATTCTGGGTCGGCCTTTCTGGGGTCGATTCCTTCCGAGCAATGGTGCTCTGTGGACATGACTGCCATGGTAAGATGCGAAGGACACGAAGGGGGAGGTCCGACGGAGTGTTGGAGCTTTCAGTCTCCATATATACATATATATGGACGCCCAGGGCGATGCTGTCAACGTCAGTTGTAAGAAACTTAACAATAAACCTTCCAACGCTGATAAATACCCCGCCCGCCCTAGTCGGATGCCCCTCCATTAAAACGAATACCGCCGATGACCACGTCAGATGCCTCAATTTCACGCTGGAGAAGGACGTCTAAACAAGTAACAGCCGTACGCATTGGTTCCGTTTCTTCCTTACACACAGCGAATCACCCCGATATCGTATTAGTTGAACCCTTATGGCGACAGCTTTGGCGAGAGCAGACCATGAAAGGTTCTCGAGGTTTCTCATTTCTTCTTAATTTCCCGCTCCAGACCCTCGCTGCCGATCTCACTTCAGATCTAGGCAATTCCTTTAGGAGGGAGATCAATAGCTACCTCCTCTCGCCAAGGGGGGAGAAGATGCTGTAGAGATCATGTTACTGCACACCCCAGCTAGTAGCACAGCGTATAGAAGGGCATCGATGTACGGAGTGCTGAGAATATACGCAGAGATCAGTTCGGAGAGCGCCAAGGGAGAGTGATACGGATGATTCTAAATACATGTGAGAAAATAATTGAAAATGCTGCAGACGTTACAATCAAAGATCAGGTAATTGGGGAAGTTGAGAATCTGAACGTCAGGTAAAAGTTTAAATCATCCACAGGTGAATGCAAGATTAGAATGGAAAATATAGGCAAACCTCCATGTGTAGGGTGCTCGAGATATAATAATACAAATCTGGATTAACACGAGGTTATGATCATTCAATACCAAAAAAATTAGCTATCTTATGAACTCTCGGCGACAGTCACAAGAAAAAGATATTCAATGGGTAAATGAAGACTGTGAAAAGAGCAAGGGATTACTAGTGAGGGAAGGAATTTGCCTGGTGAGACTCCGATTGCCAGAAAGAGGCTGTTTGGTGTTGGCGAATGATGATTTACTAACGTTTTCTCCAGTAGATAGGGTGATGGCAATGGGTCAGATCAGAATGGTACAGCTCGGCTGTTGGTGTGCGGATAATCCAGATCGGCAGGCTGGCAGCCTACGAGGGCAAGAAGGCAGCGAGTGGCACGACAGAGGCAGAGGAGAGACAACGCTAACAGTGGTGATAAAAGTGGCGGCGGCAAAGGCAAATGAAGATGGCAACAGTGGCAGCAATGAGCGTGGCAATGGTGATGGTGGTGGCGACGAATGAAGGTAGTGGCATGGTGAATGAAGGCATCAGCGCCGGTGGTAATGAACGCGACAGCAGTGGTGATGAAGTTGGCGGTAGCAGTGGCGAAGAAGACAGTGATGGTAGCAGTGGAATGGAGGAGCTCACCAACCAAGAGCAGTGGGGTCCTCTCGACCAACTACTGCGGGTGGAGCAACGAACGAAGGGGTGACTTCTTTTTTCAAAATTCGAGTTCTCCCTCTAGGGCAATAGATCAAGCCTTACATAGGCCTACATGAAAAACTGAGAAATAAGCTCAATGGGCCAAAAAGTAAAAATGAGCCCGCCAATGATAAATGAACTCTTCATAGTCTAGTTGAGTCTGTCGGTGCCATGAATTAGGGTGGGCTTCGGGGACAACATCAAACAGTGCTGATCGCAGTTTGATTACTTGAACTCATCCTACATCAACTCTCTACTAGTTTAAAGAACTCGACTCTATCGAGTGAAGGGGTGGGATGTTGCTGTAGCACTCTCACGTGCCAGGATCAAGTTGGCAAATATCCTCCTCCTTGATCCATGAGTCATCTGCTGGTGAGCAATCCTTCCAACAAACTAGAAATCTCCTATGCTCTTTGTCATTAGTAAAAATCACCTGCTTGTCTACTATATCGTCTACTTGTTCATATTACTTCAGAAAAAAATGACTAGTGAGCAATTAGGTGGGCTGGTATTCAGAAAGATGAGATTCAGCTCAAACATCTCACTAAGTATGTTAAATGATCCATGATAAGCAACGAGATCTGCGATGTGAAAAGTAGAGCTAATTCTCCAATCTAGTGGAAGGTCTAAAATATATCTATTGAGCTTAATTATTTTCAAAATTTTGAACAAGCCTATCTTACGTGTGAATCTTAGGTACATCCCTTGGGGCAATTGTCTAAGATGGATTCAAGCCATGGCAAGATCTCATTTTTGTAATACTTTGAATCACTTGTGAGCATCTGCTGTGTTTCTCAGACTTAGTACTAAGGCTAATGCAATGCTGAATGTCCTCATGTAAAACTCCATATATAATGCACAAATGACTAGATAGAAATGGAGGTTCTAGACTGGATGGGTGGGAGCATGAGTTGGTTGGCTTCTTAGGTTTGTAACCATGAACTATCTCAAAAGGACTCATACCTAGTACAATTGATAGAACTATTAAATGCAAACTCAATACAAGGGAGAATCATATCCCATGTCCCTAAATTCTCCCCTCTACTAGGCATTGTAATAGGTTTTCTAATCTCCAATTATTGACCTTGGTTTGTCCATCAATTTGTGGGTGAAATGTAAATGAATATTCTTACTTAGTCCCCCATCAAGTGCCAAAGAGTTTTCCAAAAGTAACTCATAAATCAAACATCGCTATCTGATGTGATGGTCTATCCCAAGCCATGAAGCTTGCCAATCTCATAAAAATATATGTGTGCAATCTTCAAGGCATCAAAAGTCAAAGAGCAAGTGACAAAATGAGCATCTTAGGGAACCTATCAACTAGGAAAAAAATTGAGTCATGCTTCATGAGGGTTCTTAATAATCCTAGCACAGAATCCTTACGTCCACTCAAGGTCATGTTGGGATAAGTCGGGCCATATTTAAGCTTGTGTTTTGCTTAGATATTTTTGATAGTGTGCATCTGTAGCATTGGGAGATAAGTCTACCTATGTCCCGCTTTAGGCTAGGCCAATAGAGTGAGACGGCCGAGGCATCGGGCCACGCCCTGTTGACCGCCTGACCATAGCTGAAGATGAGGAAGAGGCTGGTGACGCCAGAACCCCAAGACAACGAGGCCTGCTCCTTAGCGAGAAGCTGCGGAGAGGGCCTCTGGCAGAGATTCTCGTTCGATATCGGTGGTGTCCATTCCGTCCAGGCTATGGCGCCGTGTGGATATCCAACAGCCCTGTCAGAAGAGACGGACACGAAAGGAAAGGTCTAACGGAGCATTGTGCAGTTTAGTGTCCACCATATATAGGGACCCAGGGCCATGCTGTCAACGACATTGCCAATGTACATAAATAGATGACCAAATCGGAGTGTTCAAAGGCTCCGTCGCCGGTGGTAGACGTACCTCTCTAGGACCCTACCTTGTGGAAATCACTCAAAACGGAAATCTTTTAATTCTTTTTAAAGCGAAAGGGAAATCATTCTGTACGGTTCCCTCCCTTATTTACAGGGAAGACACACGATTGTAGTTTTATTTCCTATTTTGCCTCTACCTAATGGCCCCGGACGCGGACACGTCCCTTAACCATGATCGGTAGTGACGCAGGACGAGGACCCCTTGCTCCCGGTTGGAGCTTTATCGCCACTGTCATCCCCGCCTTCCTCTGTTCGTAGCCGCCGCAACCGCCGTAGCCCTGCCACTGCTCGCCGCCGTCAATCGCAGCTGCCGCCTGTACCGCCGCCGTCTGTCACCTCTGCCGCCTGTATCGCGACCGACCACCACCTAACCTTCATTCATCGCCGCCATCTCCCTCCGCCGCCGCCACCATTCCACCGTACCCCATCACCAACACCGCCATCTCCCTCCACCGCAGCCGTTCCGCCTTCCGCCCTGAGTCATCGTCGGCCGCTCCGCCTAACCGTCATTGCCTTCGCTCTTCGTCTTCTGAGTCTGCCGCCCCATCTTGCTCCCATGGAGCGATTAGGGCTTAAATCCCCCGAGCCATGGTTGGGCCCATATTTGCCACCGACCAAGTATTGGGTTCCATTCCGTCACAGCCCACCGGGTTCGGGTCGGACTGATACCTGCCGGGCAGCTCCGTCAGACTTGAGCCGTAGCCCGACCAACTGCCAGCCCTCCAAGCTATCGAGTTACCCAGTCAATGGCCAATAGTCTCCGCGCAGGTCAACGATCAGTGCTCTAGGCCAAGTCATTGGTCAATGGTCTCCTTTTAAGTCATGGGTCAACGATCAACCCCTATCGATGACTTAGGCCTTTGGTGACTTCTTTTCACAATTTCTCTTGCATCTTATGCCTAGTAATCATTGTTCTTTTAATATATTCTTCATCTGATTACTACCACATTGAGTAATCCGTATAAGATAGTCATTATTTTCCACATTACACGATCATACCTTGTGATAAGCCGGACTTGCATCATTAAATACGAGCACCCTTCGTCTGACATTTTGCCTAAACATCACAATCCTAGTCCTCCTTCCCTGAATGTGGATGATTTTGAGTCTAGACTAGATTTCTCCTTCTTGACTTTTCTAACAGTATTTGTGGTTTCTGCACCGTTTATCGTAACTCTCTTACGTCATGAATATCATCTGCATCAGGTGGTCAACCCATTCTCCCGATGAGATTGGTTTCACGGCCCCGCCATCTCTTTTGGAATTCTAAACGAAGAACATGGACAAGCATCAGCTTCATTTCCTCTGCACATGCAGATAACTCCTGGATATGTTAGAGCTCTTAAGCCGATATCTCCACGGCTTTCATTTCTTCTATATTTCTCGCCGCGAATCCTCGCCTCTGAAGTTACCGTATGTCTGGCTGATTTCCTCAAGTAAGGAGACCAGAAGCTATCTCCTCTCGCGGCCGAGGAGGAAGAAGATGCCGCAGTGCTCATGCTACGGCGCACCCCAGCCAGTAGCGCACCCGATAGAAAGGCATCAACCTACGAAGCACTGAGAATATATGCAGATGTCAGTTGGCACAGCGGTGGGTGGCAACCGGAGGGTTTCAGTCTTGTGCACAGATACACACCTGGTAGATGGTCGCTCCGCCACCCAGAGGATGGCGCCGGTGCCAAACATAAAGAAAGAAAGGAGCAGAAACAAAAAGGAAGAAGATTGGCTTGGCGGATGAGGAGAGAATTATGATTATGCGCCCTAAGCCATTTAAGCTTTCTCGATTGAGTCCAACTTATTTTCGTCGGCTGTTGTGTGGCAGCCCGCTCAATAGTCCATCTAGTTAGGCTGAGCCCACCTAATAACTAAGAGGCTCAAAACTACCCAAGATGAGTGGGTACTCTCAACCTCCGCCTGCCCACCACCACCCATCCGTCCCCTCATTCAACCTTATTTTTGAAAACCTACCCGTCCTAGAGTATTTTATGCACCTAAAGATTACTTTTTCGGGTCAAAACTATCCTTTATTAGCGCTATGTGAGCCCCAAGAAGAATCAAGTGGTAAGTCATTAAACTAGTCTTTATCGCAGGAACAATATAGCTTATTATTAATTTCGTCTAAAGATAAGGTCAAAACATCCTTCCAATCTTACGTCAATGATGTGCCTACCCATTCAAAGGCGCACCCCCCACCGTTGGAAGTGTGTGGATTGAGTCATGTATTCAAAGATCAAGGCTGAGTCCATGACGAGAACAAGAGCCACATAATTCTTGTCTATTTTCCTTTACTCTCTCTATCCCTTGTCATTAAACTCATTTCTGCCGTGCAATAATGATATGATCATTCTGTAAAACCCACGTTGCACCTTGCCAGCCAAATGGCATGGAGATGCTAGATTGCAATAACTTGAACCACAGTGCTCAGCCAGCTAACGTTCCATTGAGAACAGCTCGTCATTGTCAAAAAATCCATTCGGCTAAAGCTGAGCATGTGGACTTTGCCGTGTTGAAAATGATTCTAAATGGTTTACTTTAAATGAATGGACTCTAAATAGTAAAAAAATGATAGGTAGTTGTCGGAATGAACAATTGCCATGCCCTCACAATGTAGGAAATATTCGATAGAGTAAATGACAAAAAAACCTTAGAAGTTGAAACTTGATATAGGAAGACTTGAGAATGTCTAAACTGTGGTTTTTAATAAACTTCATTGTAACTTTGACTAAATAATATTTTATCAATCAATTAAATAACAACGACCGGAGAGTTTTCTTGATCTCCATTCGGATAACTGGCTGCTGACCTGCTTCGATGACGACTTGAAATATATCCGAATTATACGCAGTATCTTGTTGTATTCTCTCTCTCTTTAATTCTCACGTCGCGTGACCAGAACGGTGGAGAGCATAAAAAGTCTGTGGAATTCATAAAACTTGTTTAATGTTCGAAGAACTTTGCGATGGGACCGACATGTTTACTGTTGAACCCCTGAACAGAGGGGTTGACCGAACACATGCACGTATGATGATCCACGCGTCCCCCACTTACTTTCGTTCGTAGAATCTCTGAAAATGTTCAGAACGACTGGCAATTTGTCTTTAGCCTCTTCCTAGGCAATAGGTCGCGCAGCACGCGCCAAGAGAGATCCTCGAACGGCGTTGACTCTCGTAGATCTTGTGCGCATAACGAGGAGAAGTATAGTTCATTTTGTATTTATCGTATGCCTTTATTATACCTACAGAACGGTTTCCTGCGCCGGTGCTTCGCCTTCGATGTTTCTATCGCCTTCTCGGCGTGTTCCGGCGGGCCCGTGGGTTGATCTTTGCTGGCTGCTGGCCTGGGGTACGCTAAGAGATTTCCGGGGCATAACGGATTCCAATCCTCCGGGGGGGAGATGGGAAACAATCTCCTCCCGCCATGCGGGGAGAGGACGGTGCTCGGATAGTGTTGCAGCATAACGCAGCAAACAGCACAAATCTAGCAGACCAGAGGGGTTAGGTGGTAGGAACGGTAGGTTCCGTTGACCCTTTTCGTACCTCCCTTGGTGAAGAAGGGAGGTTATCTCCTCAGATATTCACGAGCATCGTGATACTGGGGATACTGAAGAGATATATTAGATTCCAAGAGGAAGAGAATAGGATAGTGGGTATCGGAGTGAAAGAGGGAGGGATGAAGACTTAGTGGAAATAAGTAATGATACACAGTAACTCAACAGTAACCTGCTGACGACTCGTGACGACACTTTACAAGACTTGTGAATAGTGATGAGGAAGAGGATGAGACAAGACTATAGGACAAAAAAGAGCGAGAGAAAGAGAGAGAGAGACAGAACAAGACAGTCTCTCGTGAACAGTGAGGGAGCAGTCACGAAGCACTCAGCGGCTTTGGACCTCCAGACGATCAGAAGAACCCCCCAATCTTCTCATTGAGTAGGTTACACTTGATCGTGCCCCACGTTCTCCGGAATAAACGCTTGAATAGTTGAGGTGGGGCTAATGACGTGGTGTTGACCGTTTCTTCCATGGCACGGCGGCGGCGGGGAGCTGCCGGCGTCGTCCAAGTCCTTGGATGTGAGATATACGTAGAAGTGGTAGCCACGCTCCAGGATTATCAGTACGGGTGCTAGCACGAGAAGTCCGAAAAACATGAACAAGAAGAAAGTGTCCCCGATCGTCGCCTTGCCCAGATCCGGATGGGACTTTTTATTTTTATGGAAGCGGTAGATACACGACACGAGGATCGCTCCGGCTACCATCCGGACGACAGCGGCGAGCGCTGGGGGAATCACCATCACCATCTGGCTTAAGAACCAACAGCCCACGCCCACCAAGAAAAGCCTAACTCTGACCTTAACTTCCTCAGGGATAACCCTTTCCACCATTCGTACGAGATAGAAGCACGCGAGGAAGAGCACGTAGTTGGTGACGATGAACGAGACATGATCGATTTCCTCCCACGCACAGTAGACGCATATTCCGCAGCCGAAGGTGACAGAGAGGAACGAGACGGGAAAAAACCAAGGGAATGAAAACTGTTGCTCAGTGGGAGGCGGCTCAGAAAATTTCTTCGGCTGAGATTCAAGGTCGACCTTGGTAGGGTCGATTCCGTCCGTGCCATGGAGCTCTTCGGACACAACTGTCATGGTGAGATGAGACGGACACGAGGGGGAGAGGCCCGATGGAGAAGTGGAATTCTCAGTGTCCACATACATATGTATATATGGACACCGATGACCTCTCCTGCATTAAAACAAATCCGCCGATGACCTCTCCTGCATTAAAACAAATCCGCCGATGACCTCACCTGCGTTAAAACAAATCCCGCCGATGACCATGTCGAATGCCTCGACTCCCGTTTTACTTCGGAAAAGGCTATCCTTCTCTCCACCAGACACACAGCTAATCCCCCGATATCGTAATGCGTTAATAAGAGTAACCCCGCTGTCCTTCTCTCCACCAGATACACAGCTAATCCACCCGATGTCGTATGCGTTAATAAGAGTAACCCTTATGGCCACAGTAAGTTTTCGCTGCGGATCCTCGCTTCCGACGTTACCGCAGGTTTAGCTGGTTTCCACAAGGAGGGAGATCAGCAGCTATATCCTCTTGCCGAGAGGGGGGAGAAGATGCTGACGGAGATGATGTTACGGCACGCCCCAGCCAGTAGCCAAGCCCATAGAAGGGCATCGATGTACAGAGTGCGGAGAAGATACGTAGAGGTTGTTCGACACAACGGCAGGGGTCGGCCGAAGTGCTTCGGCCTTGTGCACAGTTATCCGCCCGCCTGGTGGTCACTCATACGCCACCAAGAGGACAGCGGCGGCGAACGGCGGTGACAAAACTTAAGAGAGAGGGGGAGGAACAAGATAGATGAGTGGC